GTGGCTCAAAGCGCTCAAATTTTCCCATATATTATATGGGGAAGAAACTATTTTTCGTAGAAATTAGTTATCAAAAATTTGTTTAATATTAACGATTTTTTATGGGGAACCCATTGCATTTTTTCTGGTTTTGGGGGGCCCATAGAAAATAGTTAATATTAATAAAGTATTAAATAAACGATTGAGTGTTTTTTTCTGAAAGTCTCCTGAAGAGAAAAAGTTTGTCGATTGAAAAATATTGATTTTCTACCATTTCAACGAAAAATTGCTTTTTCCACATGGGAAACTTTGAGCGTTTTAACTTTGTATAGTTTAGTCTTTAGGCTGTTCACACATTTCTAGCGGGTTAGACCGAGCTCTTTTCGAAATAAGGGCCACCCTAATGTACATATAAATGTAAGCATGTCCATTCCATTACCATTTCAACGTGGGTAAATATTTCATTAAAATTTTCTGTTTTACCAGACAATGCTTTAATTAGTTGCTTACTGTGCGAAAAAATCTTTATTGCTACAATTTTCTTTTACTTCACACTGAAAAATTTATCGCAACAATGACCTTGCATTTTATTGAAAGCGACGACTATCCTAACATAAGCAGCAAAAAAGCACAAGGGTATCTAATTTCGATTACTACGACATTATATTGATCTACTCAACCCCTTAAACTATAACAAGTAATAGCACATAAATAAAATATAGATAGTTGGCATCGATGCGTAAATAAAAAGAGAGTACATAGGTTAGTAAACAAAAGATAATGTTGAGCAGAAATCAATAAAAAACTGGGACTAATTTATAGGATACGATACGGTAATCTACCCTAAACGGATGAACGATTAAGAAATTACTGTACAGAACTTTTGAACAGACAACGAGAAAAAAATAGCGGATAGCACGAGCGCGAGTCATGGTGGACAAACACTGTTACTCCAATACACCATTATTTTGTTGTTTTAGTTTTTGTTTTTGTCTGCAATGTGCTGAAGTGGCAACGCTATACAGCTCGGTTCATGGCATCTCTTTCATGCAGCGGCCATCGCACTAATTATAGGTTACCGTTCGAGCTAAATAAAACAAGCAGTCAATTGGCGGAGCCAGCAAACAATAGGGCGTCGCAGCTCGCATAGAGGTGCCAGTGTGTGAAAGCGAAATGGACGATAAACTAAGGGAAGAGTCAACGTATCGCAGCGAGCACAACAGGGATAACGCTAGTACTTGCTTTCGGCCGCTGTTTATTTCTTCGCCAAACGGCGTATGTGTGCGTGCGCACAACTACAATGACATCTACGCATACCGATGCAAACAAGCGCTTTATTTGAAGGGGAAATGTAAGAAGAATGTTTTTAGAAATTTTATGAATGAAGCCAAGCAAATACAACATCTCTCCCAGCGTTGTTGTTTGCAGTGTTCGTGGGTACGGAATAAAGCATAAAGGATGTAGATTTGCTTGTGAAAAACTGGTTGCGAGAGGTTTTGAGCGATAAGGCCTTGATATGTGTACAAATTTCAATTTAATGTAGCTTAGTTGAATTGTGGTTTTGTTGTTGTTTATTTATCTATTGCTTTTAGTGATTAGAAAATATTTTGCATTGATTTGCTGTCGGATGGTTTGGTTTTACATTGTTTTGATAAATGCTGAAAAGCCTGACGAGATTCAAAAATATGTAGGTAGTCAGCAAAAATACTACATGGCATATGGACATTTCATTCATTTTCTACACAAATGGATTACATGAGGTTTAGTAGGTAATGCAATTTTAGAATTAAATTTTCAATTTGGTGAGCTTATTTAAGATTTAGACAGGGGGTTAAAAATTTAGAATGCATAAATATGCTTTAGGGTGTTTCAGAAAACACTGGAAAATCTCGTTTTTGGAGTTTGTTGCCATTCCCCAGAATTATGGAAAATGGAAATACGGGTCCGCTGTTTTTTTTTAATTTAATTTCGTTAATTATTAACTGGGCCACCGGCGCTTTTAATTTTTCCTTATGTTTTATATGGAGGGAAATATTTTTGAAGTATCCATATATGGATAATATAGAGATGTGTCTATGTAAATGGCATATAAGGTTGAAATTGACAGTCTTCATTATCTAAATCCTTTAACGAAATTTCCTGTTGCATTGCACAGTTGTATAATTTTATTCGTTCTACAAACAAAAAAAAAAAATATGAAAAAATTTTTTGATATCAACGTATTTGCGAAGGGTTTTATCAAAAATCACTTGAAATTACATATATCACTGATGAAAAATTACCTGCGCAGAGCTGCAACTTTTTAAAATATTTTTCTGACAGATATATACATAAATTAAAAAATGATGAAATTATATTTTGTAAGAATGCATTCAATATAAGACATAAGAAGAAATATAATGATGGTATATATCCAAAAGCATGTAGGTAACCTTTGGCCACTGAATGCTTAAACAAATTTTAGTCAGTTTGTGTAAAAGATAGAAATTGGTGGGGGACCAGCGAAAGAAAAACTGGAGGGATAAATACTTATGTATGTGGCTCTAAGTTCAATTTTGAAATGAAGAAAATGCTATTAGCAATGTTGTATTCATATTTTTGCAAAGTGGCCTTGCAACTTACTCAGTTTTTGGCAACTTTCATACAGGCTTAAGCGTCAGCATTGAATTGCCTTGCCTTGCGAATGCATAACTACATAAAGCGCCAAGTACAAGCTTTACTTAATTTAATTTTAATGCTTTATGTAGTTAAAATGTAGCGTTAAGCCATGTTTTATAAAAATTATATCAAATTATAGATTTTGAGCAAGATCTAGTGTGAATTATAGGCGTTTCAGTAGGTCAATCTCTGCCACACTCCTGCCTAACAGGATGGTGAGTTCTTCGCACCTACGACTTTCTCACGCTCTCATCTGAAGTAACTACGGGAAAAACTTAAATTTAACTTAACAAAAAAAGAACACTCTACAGAAAACTGCGATTACACCATCATCGAATTGATCGATTCAAAAATTATATCTTTCATACGCGTAAAGAACATATACCGCTTTATACCTACAGTGTAGTGTTGGGCAGTATCGATACCAAAAGTACTCAGAATTTGATTCTCAAAACGATCGTCAGCACCCGATTTTTAAAAGTATCGATACTCCAAAGAACTCAGTACTCACAAAAGAACTCGAAAGTACTCAGTACTCAAAAAAGGAACTCGAAAGTACTCAGTACTCAAAAACACTCTGTTCCAATAATCGTTTTGATACCTGTACTCAGGATCGATCGAGTATTAAGTGTCGAATAGACTTAAAAAGTACTGAGTTTTATTTACATTTAACGGTATTCAGAAATCATTGTACTCAATTTGCAGTTTGAATAACTTTCAACTACAATACTTGTACCCAGTACAGTTAGTCATTTATTTGACGTAATTCGGGATTCATATATTAATTTAAATAAAATACTGCCAACATGTGTATATTTAAAGAAAATACCAGTACTCTGAAAAATACCCGATCCTTAAAAGTATCGATACCAGAGAACTCGATCCTCAAAAGTACTCGATACTTCCCAACACTAATATAGTGCCTTTCACAAGTGATCACGTGTTGATTTTAATTTTTTTTTTTATTATGCAACGTTTTTCAAGATAAGTTTTTTTTTGGTTATTTTTCTATAAAAGTATTGTCGAAGTTTAAGCCAAAAACATATAAATCAGAGTTTCAATTTTACACAAAATTTAAGAAAATCCATTAAAATTTCGAGCTTTTTAATTTGAATCCTTAATACACTTTTGAGTATGCAGTTTTGTAGTGCATTCACTTTAAGTCTCATGAAGTGCAAGACTAAAAAATTCGTTGATTTTTAATTTAATTTTTGCTGACGGATTTTTGCAATTTTTTCCATAAAAGCATAATTTCCATGCAAGCATAATTTCAAAAATTCAACGCCAGTTTTTCTAATTTTCACTTGTGCTATAAAAAAAAAACGAAGAAGTAGTAAAAAAAAATATATAGATATATATTAAAAATCAACGAAATTTTTATGAAAATTTGTTGAATTTTTCTAAATCTTGTATAAAGCTTGAAACTCTGATTTATGTAAATATGTATATGGTTTTGGCTAAATTAACACAAAGCAAATTTAACTTGAAAAACGTTGTGAATATTAAAAAAAATCAAAACGTGAACACTTGTGCAAGTCACTGTATGTACGGTAGTTTTGTGGTATACGTTTTAATACGGATATTAATATATGCACGTAAACCTTTATTTTTATTAAATTTAAGGGATTGTTTATTAAAAAATATTCCACCAACTAATATTTATTGTCAGTTAATTTTGCACTCTCTCTGTGAGTGAGCTCTCTCTCTCAACGGTGGTGCCCACCATCATGCCACCACACCAGACAACGCAGATACAACCACGACGACATTGCAAGCGCACATTTCATTTCCATGCATGTGTGAGCGCACTTTTGCCTTTGTGTGCTGATGAATGGTTGGATGCGTCCCAACCACTTTTGCCAGCCAGCCTTCACAAAATGCCACCACCACAACTACATATCTAGATATTGCTATCTCCTATATAAGTATGTATGGATGTTATTTTTCCCTCTATGTGTGTGCCTTGCTTGACTGGTCGAAGTGGTTGTATTGTAGTAGTTCCGACAGTAGCTTACACCGGTTTCTTGGTAGCGTTGTGCGGCTACATTCGAAACGGATACGCGCGCTAGCACAATACATACATACATCCTTAAGCGGCGTAGAGCGCGCATAGTAAGCGAGCGACAAGCGTAACCATCAACAATGACGACTATTTATTGTGCGCTAAAGCCGTAAATTCACAGAGCAACAAATACCAACAACACTACATACACACACACACACCCATACGCGTGCGCCCCAGTAGTTTGTGTTTTTTTTTTACTTTGCTTGTCAGCGACGACTTGCTGCTGTTGCTTATCCGTTTGGTTGGCTCATTGTTGGCAGCATTTGTTGTTTCATTTGCGCAACATTCATTCGTTGGGGTGCCCCAGTGTATGGCCACAGTTTTGCTACAAAGTATGCGTGCGCTTATTTATGTGCAACGCTTTGTTATTTGCGCATGTAGTTGCTGTGTTTTGGTATTTGTGCCTGTGAGAGCTTTTTTTCGCTTGTGTCGCAGCGGGCAGAACAGTCACCAGCATTTGTACGTACAGCAACGACGCCCGTTCATATTTGCGCGGATTCTTTTTGCGAATTAGTAACGCGCAAGTGGATAACCAACAACTTAGCTGAAATAAGAAGGCGTAAACAAGAGGTAGAACAACAACAAAAACAATAGCGCTAGCATAACGGACGAAAGAAGAAAGTTGAATGCAAAAACAAGAAAAACTAAAAAATATATCTACTTTAAAAAAGAAATTTGTTAACGCGAGCAGCGCCCTACGTTCACAGTGGGCCGGCCAAAGTAGCCAAGTTGGTATACGCGTTTGAACGCCAGCCGCAGCAGTGCTAGTGACAGTTGTTGGGACGGCTTGAACACACCGCTAGCGAATAGCGAGCTGCGTGCGAATTTAGCGAAAAAATTAGTGATCGATAGCGAAAAATGCGAGTAAGGAAGTAAGGATTTGAAATAAAAATTAAAAATCCAATATACAATTTGAAAAACGATATATATATTATGAAAATTTGCGTTCTTTTAACTGCTTTTGAATCTCATCTGACTTGTGTAACGAAAATCAGCGCCACGAATCGTCTGTGAAGATCCTGCGCCGATACGCCGCCAACACAAAAGGCATTCACACGCACCGAGCAAGGGGCCGCTTTGTGGCAGCAGGCGCCACGCTGCGCGCCTTTATTCAACTACCTGTCAACGCTTTGGCACTTTCTGACAGATTAACAGACGCACAGAGGATACAACAAAGCCGCATTAAAAGGTCAGCAAGAGAGCTAAACAAAAGCAGGCCAATAGGATTTTTTTTGCAAAGGAAAGCAGAATTTTAGAAAACATAAAAATCGGAACTGCTATCCAGTTGGTAGAGAAAAAAATAAACAAAAAAAGAAGCAAAAAGTAGCAAAAAAAGTAAGACACAAATTACAAAGCAAAATTCGGCAATTCTTTGCCTTTTCCGTAGTGTTACCGAATTTGCCACAAAAGAAATTCAATTAGTGCTGTGTAATTGTGCGACGGCTTAGTTGAATGAGCGGTGAGCGAACAAAAGACCAAGCAGGCGAGCGGGCAGCAACAAAAGGAACGAAATTAAAAAGTGAGCAAAATTGTGTATAAAAAAACCTTGAACAAAATATATATATTTTTTTATAAAATAATTGTGCAAAAAATTTAAATTAAATCAATGCAAATCTGTGCGAATTCATGAAAAGTTATTATAAAGCGAAGAACACGTGCGCGTCTTTATAATTCATACACACATGCATATGTAGCTGCAATGCAAAGTGATAAAGTGCTAATTATTGCAAACAATAAGATCTAGTAAACAAAAAAAAAATTAAACGTAGGTCCTGTGCTTTGGCATATTTGATTGATCGCCGGCGCGTTAGATACTCAATCATTCATGACATGTGACAACTTTCTTAACTCTCCTATAAATGTGCAACTTTAAAAGCAATTGTTTTTCTTTTTGTTCGTAAGCCCCTTCAAAAGTACTCGTAAATTTCCGCAACTGCAGTGCAAAGCAAACAAATTTGTCATAATTAAATTTTGCTTTTAAGTGAACGTTGCATAGTGCAAAAAATAAAAGAAATACAAATACATACATACAAACAAACAAACAGCAGCATTTGTCACCAATCATCGATCGTTACGTTCAGCAGCACCAAGCCGGTAAAATGTTAACGGATATGACACCGACGGCCGGACAATTGTACGGCTCACAAATTCCTGCCATGGGCATGAATATCGGCAATATCGCTACGCATCTGCAGAAGCCACAAGTTAATCCGGTAAGTTTGTTAAAGTCACTTAGAAAAGTTGTATTTGTATATACCTATCTACAGTACAGCAATTCAATAATATTGACGTGCTCGGATAGAGATTGAAATTAGATTCACAAAAAGATAGTGAATAATCGGGTCTTTTACTGACTTCATCGAATTCCAATTTTTAAGAAATCGACAAAAATGCCCATTACTTTTTTGTACTACAAAGTCATGCAAAGTCGTGGGATGTGAGACGACCAATGCTTAATTAAGTCAAAAGTGCTGCTAACAATATCCCTTCAACAATGTCGTCCAACTAAAAATCGGTCATGCGGTCACTTAGGCTGTTTTCGTTTTCATAAAAGTATTTTAAATAAAGTGTTTAGCTTGCATTAAAAGTGTCTTTTATCCAACTTTAACCAGAGATCTTCTTTTCAGTTGGCCCTATAATCGTTTATAAGTTTGTGCTGTGACTAAGAAACCTCGGCATTTTCCTCTCTAATTTGTGTAGTTACGCCAGTAATGAACCCCCGAATGTAGAAATATCTATAGATCCTACTGCATTTGGTCCTTCCTTTGTGCTCATGGGAGCCGATTCGATGGATTTTTTAACTTCTTCGGTATCCGTCGCCCACGCCAATACGGTCATAGATCTTGCATAGAGTAGAGTGCTCTCGAAAGCCCACAAAGACGTCTCATCTTTGTTCGATATCGACCATGTTCGAGTTCAAAATCGAACCTGTTGGTAAAGATTTGTTCTCGGATGACATTATTTTGGTGGTTTCGATGCTAAATCCTAAGTTCATAAGTCTTTCAAAGTTAAAACTGCCAATACTGTAGTGTGTTCTAATGCGCGAAGACTTTTCGTGTCTCGCCTTATTTTTGTCTTTACTTTTTTTATTAGCGATACAATGGCTTTTAGTAAATAAATTGAGAATTCGAAATAGCAACTTTCTTCATGAAAAATAGACAACCAAAGATATATATTTACATCGGAATTGCATTGAGTTTGCGAACAAATATATGGCGTCAGGCATAAAAATGTTAATTTCAACTCATTTTTTATATCAAATACTTAGTTTTATGAATTTTAGTAAATTCTATTCTAGATATTCTTTAGACAGGTTTTAGGTTCCAAACAGTGCCCAACCAATAATTACTCAAATGTTTGAAGAATATTCTATGAACAAGAGGCTTTAGCATACATATCGACACCTGAGTAGAAGATCGACCTATTTGGGGCAGCCAGTTCGAAAACGCCCTATCTCAGAAAACTTTTGAAGAACGCCCTACTTCAGAATTTGACTGAAGAACGCCCTATCTCAGGATTCGATTTAAAAACGCCCTATCTCAAATGAAAATGTATTGAAAATATGCTGAGACAGAACGTCTTCTGGGATGGGGCGGATCAACGCTGCCGTCTGTTTAAGCTTTAACGTTGGTCAGGTATAGCGGGGTTGAAGATACACTTGTGGTCAGCTGATTAAGTTAAGTGACATTTCGACCAGTTTTGCCTATTTTTCTTTTGTTTAATTAATTTTACATAAATCCACATTTCAAATTTCTTACAAAAATTAAAAAAGCTCAACAAACATTAGCAATTAAACCCAAAAATTTTAAACTATTTATTAAAATTTTTTGGAAAAATTTGCAAAATTTGAAAGGTATGCAGTTCTATAGCCCATTAAATTTTATAAGGGTAAAGTGCAAATTTCTAGACGCTAGAACATCGCGTTTATTTTTTATATTTTTTTGGTTGACGGTGTTGAGCATTTTCTCCCATATAAAGATTGCAAGACTAGCACCCTCAGCAAAAAAAAGTTATTAAAAATCAACGCAATTTTGTAGTGTTTTAAAAATATCACATTTACCTATTAAAATTTAATGCGCTATAAAATTTCATACCTGAAATTTTTCTAAAAAAATTTAAATAAAAAGTTTAAAATTTTTGGGTGTAATTGTTAAATTTTGTTGAATTTTTATATTTTTTGTAAGAAGTTTGAAATGTGGATTTATGTAGTGCTGGTTATGTGATGTGCCAGACTTTTATAAAAAAAAATATAAACATTAATTAAACAAAAAAATATAGGCGAAGCTGGTCAAAATGTCCTTTAACTTCATCAGCTGACCACAAGTGTATATTATACTTTGGATTTTCTGAGACCAGAGGCTGGATTCTGTAACTGTGAGTTTTCAAGTGTACACTCTTAATTTTGCGATTCAGATAGCGTAAGAATGAATTTTAGCTGTCAAATTTGTGTACACTTCTCGTCCGAAGAGTAGGGCAGTTGTCCACCCCTAAACTCAAGAAATTTTGCATTTTCTTCTTCTTAATTATTGGCGCTGTAACCGCCTAAGCGATTTGGCCGAGTCCAAAAGAGAATGCCTGTCGTTCGTTTCTGTGCCTAGTGATGCCAGTTGGAATTGTCAAGCGAGGCCGAGTCCTTCTTCACCTGGACTTTCCAACGTAATGGAGGCCTCCCTCTTCCTCTGCTACCACCAGTGGGTTCGGAGTTGAATACTTTCATTCGAACGACATGGCCAAGCCAGTGTAGCAGCAATATTTTCATTTCCAGCATTATGTCTATGTCGTTGTAAAGCTCATACAGCTCATCGTTCCATCGCCGAACAGTAATAAAATTTTTTTTATAGTAATGATTCCAATTAAAAACAGGCTGTACAAAGAAAACCAGTCTATTTTGGTTTCACGTTAAATGAATTATGCGCTTATAATTATTTGTTTTCTAACCGATGCAGATACGAGTATTTAAATGAAAACTCCCGTAAAATTGTTCTATCGGTTCTGGGTATGCAATAAAAAGTGCATAGTTTTCAAAGAAGAAATTACTATATTCTTTCCATCAAAAGTATTATGTCCTTGTCTCTGTCTAGCTCACGCATTTAATAATATTGTCGTTTTGCGTAACCATCTGATTTTCAGGCAACCGTCTACCCTGACAAAGCAGATAATGTGCCTTACAAGAGGCTGACATCTTAAGAAACGAAAAAACAGTTTTCTCACCGTTTACCTTTATTTTAAAATTGAACACGGAAAACGGAAAGGTCAATCGAAACGAGACATTTTTTGGTAGAAACGAAAACACCATTAAACTACAGCCATACACATGTTATTTACATTAAAGGTCAAGTCTACATAGGTGCTTATTTCACAGGACGACGACAGTTTTGCTTTTAGCGGACGTTGGAGCAACGCCCTACTCATCAACTAGACCGTATGAAAACCCGACTTCCACATTCTGTCACCGCTTTCGCACTTTGCGCAGTCTATTTTTTCTTCTCCGCGTAATGCCCTACAGTCTGATAAATTTTTACGATGTCTTCGATTCTTAGAGATACGGAAGTTACAGTTTTTTTTCGCCTGCAATACTCCTCAACGAAATTTGTATATGTTTACACACTCGATTTTTTTTGCCACTTTGATGGCATTAGGTACTCCAGGCTGGAACACCATATAGAATTTGCGACAACATTAAGCGTCGTGTCTCGCTAGTCTACTTGCTAACCATTTGCATGGCTTCCTCGGATATTATTCGGACATGCTGCTTGCAGTTTAGGTTTTTGTCCGGCTGTACTCCAGGGTATCTTAAGCTCAGATTATCGGTAATGTGCCAGTGTCGTCTAATTTGGTGATCTATGATCTTTATTATAAAAATCATAATTTAACCGCTAAAATTAGATTTCCCATCAAATTTAACCTTCATTACGATTTTTATTTTTTCCATAAATTTTTACTCTTATTTTTGTTTTCTTATTTTTTCGATCACATTATAACCGTTGTTTTAAGATTGATTTTTGTAGATCATAAAAGATTTAAAACGGTCATAAAAACGCAGTCTACATTACAAAGACGTTGCTTCTCTGTCTTCTATGAACAGCAAACCTTATATATTTCTACGTACTTCTACGCTACGCTACGTACACGTTCATGGGTAACCGCGCTCTTATGGCACTTGCGGTTAGTGTTGTGCGGTTCCGAGGATTCAAAGAACCGGTTCTGTTGAGTCCGTTTACAGGGGGAACCGGGTAGTTGGTCCGCTTCTCAAAAAAGCTGTAACGGAAATAGCTCAAAAAAGATTATAAAAAGTTTTTACGAAACTTTACGAATTCCTTCTTAGCCACCAATTTTTTGCCGGCTCCAGAATGTTATACAATAAATTAATTTATTGTAAACATTCGTATTATCCACTGCAACCATGCACATTGAATGGCTGTGTAAAGCAGAGATTTGTAAATTATTAGTCTGATTGCTTGAAACCGTTTTTGCTTATTTCGGTGTAGATTTTCGCTTCTAACGGGTGATTTTTTTGAGGTTAGGATTTTCATGCATTAGTATTTGACAGATCACGTGGGATTTCAGACATGGTGTCAAAGAGAAAGATGCTCAGTATGCTTTGAAATTTCATCATGAATAGACTTACTAACGAGCAACGCTTGCAAATCATTGAATTTTATTACCAAAATCAGTGTTCGGTTCGAAATGTGTTTCGCGCTTTACGTCCGATTTATGGTCTACATAATCGACCAAGTGAGCAAACAATTAATGCGATTGTGACCAAGTTTCGCACTCAGTTTACTTTATTGGACATTAAACCAACCACACGAATGCGTACAGTGCGTACAGAAGAGAATATTGCGTCTGTTTCTGAGAGTGTTGCTGAAGACCGTGAAATGTCGATTCGTCGCCGTTCGCAGCAATTGGGTTTGTGTTATTCGACCACATGGAAGATTTTACGCAAAGATCTTGGTGTAAAACCGTATAAAATACAGCTCGTGCAAGAACTGAAGCCGAACGATCTGCCACAACGTCGAATTTTCAGTGAATGGGCCCTAGAAAAGTTGGCAGAAAATCCGCTTTTTTATCGACAAATTTTGTTCAGCGATGAGGCTCATTTCTGGTTGAATGGCTTCGTAAATAAGCAAAATTGCCGCATTTGGAGTGAAGAGCAACCAGAAGCCGTTCAAGAACTGCCCATGCATCCCGAAAAATGCACTGTTTGGTGTGG